AAGATCTGGTGCCTCAAGGAAGACTGACAGAGCAGAAGCAAAAACAAAAGGGTCAAGGCAGATTTGTGGCTTTAGCTGTTTTTCAAAGTGATGTGGAATAATATCTAATCGAGAAAGACAATAAAGATTAGAGTAGCAATTATCACACAAGAGAATAGAAAACCAAAGTTGATTCCTTGAAAAGATCAATGAAATTGTCAAATCTTTATCTAGACTTACCAAGAAAAAAAGAGAGAAGACTTAAATTACTAAAATCAGGAATAAGAGAGGAGCCATCATTACTGACCTTATAGAAATAAAAAGAATCACAAGAGAATACAGCAAACAATTGTGTACCAACAAATTAGATAAATAAAATGGACAATTTTTACAAAGGTACAAATTACTGAAATAGACTCAAGAGAAAAAGAAAATCTGAATACATCTATAACAAGTGAAGAGGTTAAATTATTGAAAAACTACTCGGCAAGAAAAGCCAACACTGAGATAGCTTCACTGGTGAATTCTGCCAATAATGAAGCCTTAGACATGAAAATACTTCCTGGGACCACTTATTTATTCATTTTCTGACAAATATTCGAGAACTTACTGTATGCTAGGGACTTGGAGTACAACAGTAGACAAGACAAAGTCCCTGCTGCCCAAGGGCTTGATTTGTCATGAGAAGAGTTTTAATCAAGGCACAGTTTGTGAGCTGCAAGGGAAACTATTGTGAACTCACAGAGTCTGCATAGGACTTTATGGAATGCTGGGTTTGTGTGCAAACAACTGTTTATCTGACTGCAGTCACCTCTATCCATGCTTCCATCTCCTCTCTCCTCTCCCCTATCCTTCTGCTCCCACCTTTTTCTCCCTCTGTTGAAGCAGCCAGCCCTGCTATTCAGAAGTGAGTACACATGTCTTCTTTGCTGTTAACCACTCTGCAGTTGCGAGACAATCTCACCTGTAGACACAGGAGTGGAAGGTCTTTCCTACGTCTATTCTCAAAGTGTGGATCATCAGACCTCGAAAGAGGATAGGAAGTCATTTTCTCCCTTATCAACCCATCCCAATCTCTCCCTGGCATCTTGTGCTCCAGATGTTGGGGACAGCATTCCAAAATGCTGCTGGAGATGGGCTCTCTCCTACCTGTCACCAAGCCGTGCAGTGGGAACCAAGCTCCCACAGCCTCTAGTGTATAGGAACCTTAAATAACATTCATCTGAAAATCTAGTGATGGTTAATACAGGAACGTCCCCTGTATTATTTTTGTCTTTTCTTTTTTTCTTTTTCTTTTCTTTTTTTTTTTTTTTTTGAGATAGAGTTTCACTCTTGTTGCCCAGGCTGGAGTGCAATGGCACAGTCTCGGCTCAGTGCAACCTCCACCTCCCAGGTTCAAGCGATTCTCCTGCCTCAGCCTCCCAAGTAGCTAGGATTACAGGTGCCCACCACCATGCCTGGCTAATTTTTGTATTTTTAGTAGAGACAGGGTTTCACCATGTTGGCCAAGCTGGTCTCGAACTCCTGACCTCAGGTAATTTGCCCGCCTCAGCCTCCCAAAATGCTGGGATTACAGGCATGAGCCGCCGCGCCCGACCGGGTCTGAATATTTTCTGTAAGAAACGCTAGCACCCCTCTCAAAGGCCCTATAACCTTTTTTTCATCCTTCACAACTTTCTTCCTTAGCCACCTGAGGTTTGTCTGGGTTCACAGTCAGCGGCACTACACAAGCTTGGCTGGAATGCCTGGCTCTGGGGATTGACAGTGCGGCTCACCTGGCTGCAGGGCTGGCTTCCTGGGCATGCGACCTGTACACTTGGGCACAGGGCTCCACTCAGGCCCCACACTTGGTTTCATGCTCTGCTGTCACCATCTTGAAATTCTCAACTTTTTAAATAAGGAGGCCGCATTTTTATCTTGCACTGGACCCTGCGAATTATGTATCCAGTCCCACAGGGTTGCATTTTGGACCTTTAGGGGGGACTTCTCTGTCGTGTTTCTGAGTCTGGTTAGAGTGGTGATTAATCACCTGGCTCTGGGGCGGACAGCTGGCATTTGAATCCTGGCTCCTTTACTTACTAGACCCGTGATCTTGAAAGTTCCTCAGCCTCTTGATTTCTTTATCAGTAAAGTAGGATAATAATAGCATGTATCTCATAGGCTCGCTGAGAGGATAAAATACATATGACACACTCAGAATGTGACACACTCAGAATGGTGCCTGGAACATAGTAAAAAGCTGTGCAATGTTGGATGTTTTTGTTGCACGGCTATTCCAAGGTCACGTTGCTCTGTATCTTTCAGCAGTGTATCTCGCACTTCGTGGTGAATCTGCCTGTTGGATTTAATTAGCTCTGTAATAGTCTCTGTTCATGAAAAGACTGCAGCAGAGTGCGCAAAGTGGGTGTGGAAGGGAGACCCAAGCTCTGCTTTTGCTCTGCCATGGAGCAGAATTCCGTGTTAGCTCTCCCTTTTCCTGACCCCACAGACATCCCATCTACTTAAAGCCATGTTTCCCAAAGTGTGGGCCACGTACCCCTGGACAGGATGATTTTAGGTACCACATAGACCCAGCATTAAACAACATTCCATCTCATAGACAGTTATACATTTCTTATATCCTTTCCATCCGGTGATTATATATAGAAAAATGTCTCCACTCAGTGTTAATACTTTTTTTTTTTGGAGACAGAGTTTTGCTCTTGTTGCCCAGGCTGGAGTGCAATGGCTCGATCTCGGCTCACTGCAACCTCCGCCCCCTAGGTTCAAGCGATTCTTCTGCCTCAGCCTCCTGAGTAGTTGGGATTACAGGCGCCTGCCACCATGCCCGGCTAATGTTTTGTATTTTTAGTAGAGACAGGGTTTCACCATGTTGGCCAGGCTTGTCTTGAACTCCAGACCTCAGGTGATCCACCTGCCTCGGCCTCCCAAAGTGCTGGGATTACAGGCATGAGCCGCCGCGGCTGGCCAGTGTTGATAAATTTTTAACATCTCCCACATACTTGCAAATTTTCCCTTTTTAGTAAAGAAAAAATTTTGCCTCCTGAACATGAAAGAAAAAAAAAAAAAGGAAAAAACTGGCCCGGGACTTTGAGCCTGCATCGGACCACAGTATCTAGTTGGAATGTTAAACATTATAATGTTCTCATTATATTTCTTTCTAGGATTAATTTATGAGTAGAGAAACTGGTTTTTCCATGTAAGGTAGTAATCCAAAGTTTCTAACTAGGGGCAAAATAACATGTGAGAAAGTCTAACAGTGTTTAAAAATAAGAAAATATTCCCAAAGAAACCCAGGACTATGGCCAAAAGCAGAATGGAAGTGTGAGGCCACTGCAGAACAGATTGAGTCAGTTTAACACCAGTTAGCATCAACATCACAAAACATGATTTGTTGTTGTTGTTGTTGTTTTTGAGACGGAGTCTCACTCTGTCTGTTAGGCTGGAGTACAGTGGCATGATCTCAGCTCACTGCAACCGCTGCTTCCTGGGTTGAAGCAATTCTTGTGCCTCGGCCTCCTGAGTAGCTGGAATTACAGGAGTGTGCCACCACACTGACTAATTTACAGCTAATTTTTTTTTTTTTTTTTTTTTTTTTGTATTTTTAGTAGAGATGGGATTTCATCATGTTGGTCAGGCTGGTCTTGAACTCCTGACCTCAAGTGATCCACCCGGCTTGGCCTCCCAAAGTGCTGGGATTACAGATGTGAACCACCGTGCCTGGCCCACAATATGATTTTCATCACAGAAATGTAATACACATTTGGAAATGAAGCAACGAGCAGTGGGGAAAACTAAGGAAGAAGTATGTGCTAAGCAGTGTCTCCCAGGATGGCAAATGGAAGTGCAGCGTAATACAGCTCAGGGTAAGACTGTCTCCAGGGAGGAACCTGTGTGGAGTAAAGAGAGGGAAAAGGAAAGGAGGGTTTTTGGTTTGAGGAAAAATAGAAAATTGAAAGCCTACGCAGTAGGGAACATGTGTATTCTTTAGACATGACTGTGATCATGCAGACAGTTAAACATCTTTGTGAGCCTCACCTGTCCTTTTGGTTGCATTTCCAAGGCCTGGACGAAGGCCGAAGCTCTCAGTGCCCTGGCTGACTTGGCCCAGATGGAGTAATTGCAGCCTGTTGCTTCCATCATTCTCCCAGTCTTTCTTGTGGAGAGCAAATCAGCAAGTTAGCAGTTTCCTTTTAAAGCTCATTTATTTATGTTTTTAAAAAAGTGAATTTAAAGAATAAAAGAATCCAGGGGAAACCTGGATTTAGGAAAGTGGTGAAGGCGTATGCCATATCTGTTAGTTCCCCACCCCCTTCCCATCCACTCTACACCCTTCTCTGTCCTGCTGTATGCCCCAGGCCTGTTTAGGCCATGTCAATGTGTTATTTGCCCTCTGGCTTCTGTTGGGGGTCCTTAATGGGGAGCACTAGCAGGAAAATGGGGGAGGAGGAACAGTGAAGTCAGAGAATCTGCTCCTGCTCCCTCCCTGCGGGGTTGCTGCTGGCTGACTGTGTCCCTGTACTGCAGGTCTGCAGCCCCCGGTGCTTCCCCTCCTCTGGCCTCTTCAAGGGTAGCGTAGTAGCAGCTTCTACTGCCAGTAGCTTCAGGGAACTACATTATCCCTGTGGTTTCCCCACAAAAGACTACGGCAAATAGTCCTTTTCTTAAATTCTCCCAACACAGATTGAGCGCACCATCTGTTTTTGGCTGGGCTGCGGCTGATACAAGGTTATTTACAAAGATCAAAGTTTGGGAAACAGTAACCCAGAGGAAATCCACCTGTATTCCCCAAGATCTCTCTGATCCCTCAAACCTTCCAGATATCCAAAGGAGGTAATGGTAAGGGTTAGTAAATGGTGCCATCTTCCTCCCCACCCTTCATCCCCTCTCTTGTTCCAAGTACTTCTTTTAGTTGCTATTTTAATACAGATAATGCAATACTGTTTTCTGCAATCCTACGGAGTATAAATCTCAACTTTTTGTAGGTAACAGAATTCCATTCAAGTAAAACAGTTCAATGATTCAGGTACTCCATGAAGTTTTATTTTTAAAAAATTGTTTACTCTGTACATGTTTCTATTGAATCCTAAGTACAGATATACAAGGAGCTAAAGCAAGTGCAGTTAAGTATGCATGGGAGAGCTAAAATGGGTATGTACATAAGATCAGCAGCAGAAACCAAGCTCTGTAAAATGAGTTCTCCCTCCCCTCCAGGGTGGCTCATTATGGAGAAAATAAGAGCTTTGCCTTTCTCCGTAGCAGTAATGGTCTACAATAAGCTGCACACACACATCCCTCATCACACCTCCCTCCAAAAAAAAAAAAAATGCAGGGAGATGTGTCCTGCCCAGGTTAAACTATATGCAGGCTATCTTCAGGTCATGAGAAGCAGTCACACTTGCTTGTAAGTTCACCGGTTCGGGTAAGCAGATCACCTTTTCTCTGGAAGAGAAGAGCAATAAGAGAGCAGTGGCTGGTGAGCAGACAGGGCTTGGCATTCTGTGGCTTTTGAATTTCCATGATGTCTGATGAAAGAAGTCTGCAGTCACCTACAATTAAGAGCCAGTTCATGTGGTCCAAGGGCCGGGGGTGGTAAGGTTAATGACATAAATGCCTTTAGAGGAAGGGAAAAGGGGATGTGGATTCTGGATCCACACCCATGAATGTGACCCATGATATGTTTGGAGTGGAGGCCACAGAGGAGAAAATATGCAATGAGAAAACTTTGTTCTAATGAAATCTTACATAGAAACTAAATATGTAGAACAAACACAGTGGAATTTCCCCAACCCAAGATGGTCCCACAGGAGGTTCTGGAAAGCTGGGTCTCTGTCATTTCTGCTTCTAAGATGGTAATCACTATGATGAGCTTGAATCTCAACAGGTAGCACATCTAAGGCCAGGACTGATCTTTGATGTGTGTGTGCGTCTGGCCGGCGGGGGGAAGTGGATACTGGGGCTTACCTGTGATTGACAGGCAAAAGGGCAGTGCAGAACTTCCCAATAATAGTAGTCCGGTCTTTTTTCCAAACTCGGTTGGAAGACTGAAACTTGAATTTCACTTGCTTTATCTGGCACTGTGGGGTGGCATGAGCTATGATTCCTTTCCCGTGAAGTTGCCGCTTAGGTCTGCAAGGAAAGGGGCAAGGGAAAGTAAAGGACTGCAGCCCTTATGGCCTGTACTTTCCCTTTGGCTCCAATCAGGCTCTGCTGGTGGCACTGGTTGGCTGTCATGCACCAAGGGGTTAGCTCCTTACCACAGTCCTTTGTGTCACCCTCACCCGCCCCTCTGCCCACACCTCCAGCTTTGAATATGACCAAGAAAGTAGTTGTTGACTTTTTAGAGTGAACAAGTGGACACTGCAACAAAATAGTAGCTCCTGGATTTTCATATCTGGAAAAACTGTTCCTCATTCTTGGATTCCCAGCTGGAGGAGACCTTCACCTTCACATCCAATTACCCAGAAGTAGAAACCCTCTTTTAGAACATTCCTTTTCAAAGAATTCTGTGTAAGGACTTTTCTGTTTTAGGCTAAGTATGAATGTGTGGGTGGGAACAGCGACAAGAAAACAGATCATGAGGCACAGACAGAGCTGGGTGGAACCCAGGTTTTGTCTTCCCAGCTGTGTGGCTTTGGAAAAGTTACCTAACCTGGCAAGGTGGCTGTGGAGTCACTAGCAACTAGGTGTAAGTCTCAGCTTCCCTACATGCTGCTATGAACTTGAACCACGGGGTTTGGTTCATACTGACTTCAGCCTAGGAGGCTCAGAGTGAAAACAGTATCCAGTTCTGTCTTAACCCACCCTCTTGGCTTTGCCCCTCAGATTCCCTATCTGTTTAAAGATTCAGGCACCACTTTGGACTGAGACAAAGATGAGGGAGGAGTATGAAGTGATCAACCTAGCAGGGTGCTTCCAAAAGGGCTGTGGTACCCCCTAGGTACTAGGTACTGGAGACAAAAGCAAAAAATCGTGAGATTCAATGAGGACAGTCTTCATGCTGAGTGCAAGGCACAGCCCAGCCAGCAGAGCCTGAGGGTGGTGAGCAGGGGATCAGGGAGAGCGCCCAGCAGGGCTGCACCACCCAGCTAGGGAAGGAATTTGATTTGTGGGGCCCTTTGTGATCCTCCCTGGCCTCTGAGGGGGACTCTGAGAAAGAGGAAAGAAGGAGGGCACTGCGTTCCTCTTGGCGGGGGGCGGGGGCCAGGGGGTGTGGGGAGCCACCCCTGCCAACTTGGTTTCCTGTTCGTTTCTGGCCTTCATAGAGTGATGACAAGGCTTCTTTGTGTTCTTTTTGGTCCAGGGTTAGTCATATATCTTGTTTTTTCCTTCTAAGAGAAGATCATTATAATTTTGTTTAAAAACCAGTCCCTCTTTTTTTAAATTCACAAGTCTTTTGAAATACCTCAGAGGAAAAAATAAGATTGTTTCCTTTAAGAAACAGCTTAGATTGAAGAGTTTGTAAAATTCAAGGAATATGAAAAATCTTTTAAGTGAGTGATTTGGGGAGTTGGCCCAGGTTAATTCTCCAATTAGAAGAAAATCTTAGAGTCGCGTAAAGCTATAGAAATTTGGAGAAAGACCACACGTAACTTCTCCCCATTTTCCCCCCAGTTTCTGATCTGCAAGAAGTGAATCATGTTCTGGTGCCTTCTTCAAAAGAGTTATGTGAACCCGCTTGGGGAGGAAGAAGCGCTAATCTGTGGATGTTGACTGGAATTCTTTGGGGAGCTTTTGAAGTGTAGCTGTGGAGCCTGTGCCCAGAGACCCTGATGTGATTGTTCTGGGGTGGGGGGCTTGGCATCAATTTTTTTTTTTTTTTTTTTTTTGAGACGGAGTTTCGCTCTGTCCCCCAGGCTGGAGTGCAGTAACGCAATCTCGGCTCACTGCAAGCTCCGCCTCCCGGGTTTACGCCATTCTCCTGCCTCAGCCTCCCGAGTAGCTAGGACTACAGGCCCCCGCCACCTCGCCCGGCTAATTTTTTTTTTTCATATTTTTTAGTAGAGAGAGGGTTTCACTGTGTTAGCCAGGATGGTCTCGATCTCCCGACCTCGTGATCCGCCCGTCTCGGCCTCCCAAAGTGCTGGGATTATAGGCTTGAGCCACCGCTCCCGGCCGGCATCAATATTTTTTAAAACTCTCCAGGTGATTCTAATGTGCAGCCAGAGGTGTGGGTCATTTTCATGACTCCTGCCAGTGTTTTCGGACCTACCAATGGGCTAGAAGATGATGAAAACACCCTTCTAGAAGTAGCACAACCTTGAGCGGGTCTAATGAAAGGTATTTGGCTTACCGATACATAGCCACAGTCTGCAAGGCCCTGTGGGCACCTGCAGGCCTGTGTTGGAATCCTGATGGCTGTGTGTAGCTGTGTGACCTTGGGTGAGCCAGAAGGAACACCAGCTAGTGGCCAGGGATTTGGGAGCGAAGAAGTGCGCTCCTTCCAGCAGAAACTTGTAGTGCCTCTTAGCAGAGTTCACGTCCAACATCCCAGCCTGAGAAACATCTCCAAACTCACATCTGATCTCATCACTGTCCTGTTTAAAACTCCCAGTGGCTCTCCAGACTACTCTCAGGATAAAAAAACTTGTCCTTCAAGGCCTGGCAGGGTCTGGCCCTGACTTGCCTCTCCAGCCCCACACGATCCCCGTAACCCTAAATCTGTGCTCCATACACACCAGAAGTGTCACATTCTCCCTAAACCTGGCCTGGGTAGCTCCTGGAAAGCCTCGAAATCTCTGCTCATCATTTCCTTAGACTCGGTCAGGCTCCGTCTTCCATGCTGTCACTCTCAGGGCATTGCTGACACATTTAAGTGTGTATGCACCGGTCATTCCCCTGTTTGCTCTGGACTGATCTGTTCCCCTGCAGGTTCCCCCACCAGCAGGTTCCAGTGAGGTCTAACCCAGTGGAAGCATGCTCAGGTGGGTGGCTGCTTTGGGCAGGGATTCCAGACGGGCTGCACTTCCCATGGGTTCAGCTCCTGCCAAGCAGCCTTCCCTGTGGACCCAGCTTTGCCAGTGCCACTCCTGCTTTGTCTCTCTAGCTTAGGGTGGTAGTGGCTCCTGTTGTGAGTAATCTCTGCATTGTGTCCCCATCTCTCAGTTTTTCAGCTCATCCAACACACTTGTAATGAGTTCGCCGTGCTAAATTCCTTCTCTTGGACCTCCTCTGTTTTCCTGACCGGACTCTGACTGAGACAGTGACATTATCTGACAGTTTGTCTCCCGCTGGCTTGTGAATAACTAACCAGTTGCTTTTTAAAGAAGTATGCACCATGGCTGCTGCCTTCCTATCCCCTGCAGGCTGTGGCTCCCTACAGTTGGGGTTCTTTACCCTCTCACTTCAAGCGTAGTTCCACCAGCCCCCAAACCCAAGTCTGCCCCAACAAAGGAAGGGAATGATTAGCCCCAGTTCCAGGAATCATCAAGCCCTCCTGGCCGCCAGTCTGGCCCTCAGCTTGCACTCCTTTGCTGACTGACCCTGTGCCTCAGATTCCATTCTGATAACTAACCTAGAACTGCTCTCCTTTCCCAGGAGTGGGTGCTCTCCAGGCTCTGGCTAGCCCTCCCTGGGCTGGTGACTGAGGCCCTCCTCCCTACTGACATCCCTGATACCCGCACTGCCTGGATTCCAGAGTACTGTTTCCTCTCAGGGACCTGATTCCTAGGTCCTCTCCACCATGTTGGCATGGCATGTTGCGACATGCCGTCCCTGCTGCCTGCCTGCCCTGCCTGCTCTCATCTGAATCTGTTATACTTGGACCCACTACTGAGCAGCTCCCCAGCCTGTGTCTGTGGCTGGATCTAGAGTAGGTGCTGCCCCCAGCCGAGCTGGCTGGGCTCCGGAATCAGCAATCACACAGTACCTGACCTGGGTTGTCCATGTGTGTAAAATGAAAAAGTAACCAGCTCCTAAGGGAAGGGGTCAACCAGGTGGGACACTTACGTACATGGTGATCTTAGATGAGAAGGTGACGTTACTGCTAAGGAAAGTAACCTCGATGTTGGTGTCCTTTCTTCTCAGTTGCTTCAAGTGAAACTCCACGAGGCTGTGATGCACTAGGAAACCAAAGCACAACAGAGACTGGGCCAGAGGGCAGAAGGTGCAATGAGCAAAAACCCCAGAGAGCAGCAGTGTGGTTGGGAATCTTGGCTCTATCTCTTAGTAGTTGTGTGCCCAGGAGGAGATTACCTATAATCTCAGATCCTCAGTTTCCTCAAGTGTAAATTGAGGATAATAAAAATAGACACTTGGCCGGGCGCAGTGGCTCATGCCTGTACTCCCAGCACTTTGGGAGGCCGAGGTGGGTGGATCACCTGAGGTCAGGAGTTTGAGACCAGCCTGACCAACATGGTGAAACCCCATCTCTACTAAAAATACAAAAATTAGCTGGGTGTGGTGGTGCACATCTGTAATCCCAGCTACTCAGGAGGCTGAGACAGGAGAATCGCTTGAACTCAGGAGGCGGAGCTTGCAGCGAGCAGAAATCGCACCACTGCACTCCAGCCTGGGCGGCAGAGCAAGACTCCGTCTCAAAAAAATGAAAAAAAAAGTAGACACCCTAGGCCTGAGATAAATAGGTTAATATGTATGAAGTCCTCAGGCCAGTGCCTGTGCCTAGGAAGCATTCAGTAATGTTGGTTTTTGTTATTTTGTAATACTAATGTTTTACTTCCCCTTGGTTGCTCACATTTTCATGGTGGGATGATCTTGAATGAGCCAAATGCATCTGTCATATATGGCTATCCTTTGAATGTTTGTGTCCCCTCCAAATTCATGTTTAAACTGAATGCTTTGTGCAACAGTATTGAGAGGTGGGGCCTTTGGGGGAAGGGATTACATCATGGGGGCTCTACTATCATGAATGAAATAGTGCCTTATACAAGGGCTCAAGGGAATTGGCAAGGCCCTTTTTTGACGTCCTGCCTTCTGCTGTGTGTGAACGCAGTATCTGTCCCCTCTGGAGAACGCAACAGCAAAGCACCTTCTTGGAAGCAGAGAGTGCAACCCTTATAGACATGGAATGCCGGCGCCTTGATCTGGGACTTCCCAGGCTCCAGAGCTGTGGGAAAATAAATTTCTGAGCTTTGTAAGTTACCCAGTCTCAGGTATGGTGTCATAGTAGCACAAATAGACTAAGACATAAACTAAAGATTTAACTCGTAAGGTCAGGCATGGTGGCTCACGCCTGTAATCCCAGCACTTTGGGAGGCTGAGGCGGGCGGATCACCTGAGGTCAGGAGTTTGAGACCAGCCTGGCCAACACGGTGAAACCCTGTCTCTACTAAAAATATAAAAATTAGCCGGACATGATGGCGGGCACCTGTAATCCCAGCTACTCAGGAAGCTGAGGCAGGAGAAGCACTTGAACCCGGGAGGCAGAGGTTGCAGTGAGCCGAGATGGCGCCATTGCACTCCAGCCTGGGCGACAAGAGTGAAACTCTGTCTCAAAAAAGAAAAAAAGAGAGAGAGAGAATTAACTCATAAAATATAGCAACGGCCCTGCTTCCTCTCCACACACCCAGCGTCAGGGAAGGAGGCTGTGTGTAGAGGAGACTGCTCCTCTCCCTGCGGCCACTGGTTGCCTATGTGATATCCGGACTCTCCTTTGAGCAGCGTGGATGCTGGAGTTCTCAAGGTGAGTATCGCCAATGTAGACTGGATGTAAAACCTGGGCCACGGTGATATCCCTGGGACCTGTTGTCCCTCTGACAAGAGAAGGTAAGAAAGATTACAGGCCAGGCATAGTGGCTCACACCTGAAATCCTGGTACTTTGGGAGGCCAAGGTGGGCAGATAACTTGAGCCCAGGAGTTCAAGACCAGCCTGGGCCACAGAGCAAGACCCAGTCTCTACAAAAAAACAAAAACAAAAAATTAGCTGGGCATGTGGTATGTGCCTATAGTCCCAGCTACTTAGGAGGCTAAGATGGGAGGATCACCTGAGCCAGGGAGGTTGTGGCTGCAGTGAACCGTGACTGTGCCACCACACTCCAGTCTAGGTGACAGTGGGAGACCATGTCTCAAAAAAAAAAAAAAAAGAAGAAGAATTAAAAAATTTAAGAAAAGCCAGTCGCGGTGGCTCACGCCTGTAATCCCAGCACTTTGGGAGGCTCAGGCGGGCAGATCACCTGAGGTCAAGAGTTTGAGACTAGCCTGGCCAACATGGTGAAACCCTGTCTCTACTAAAAATACAAAAAAATTAGCCAGTCATGGTGGTGGATACCTGTAATCCCAGCTACTCAGGAGCCTGAGGCAAAAGAATTGCTTGAACCCAAGAGGCAGAGGTTGCAGTCAGCCGAGATCGTGCCACTGCTCTCCAGCCTGGGTGACAGAGTAAGGCTCTGTCTCTAAATAAATAAATAAATAAATAAATAAATAAATAAATAAGAAAAGAAAGATTACAGTTTCCCTAACACACTGTCCTTTTTTTATTAAGGGGTAGGTGCATCTGGTGGCATTTTGCAATCGCTTTAGTCTCAGGGAATTTTCCCAGGCTCCTTTGGTGATGGAGATATAGCTAGAGATGCAATCCTTCACCTCTACTCTACCTGTACTTTTTCATTTGCTATATTTTATGGGCTAACATTGGGGAGGGGAACATAAACTGGATGCAGGTGAACTCAGCACTAAGTTGGAGGAGTGCTATGGCCCATCTGGGCCCCCTGGGGTTAGTAACAGGGCTCACCAAAAGATGCCAAGATGCCAAGAATCCACGAGAAGAAAAGAGCCTTGACTGTTTCCCCTCCACAGAGGAGGACATCTGACACCACACCCCATCTGTTTCTCCTTCTGAGATGTTACTATGGGATATCAATTTTTATGGGGACAGGCAAGGGCTGAACTGGAATGGATGATATTTGCAATGTGGAAAAAATAACTAACTTACATAAGCTTTAGGAATTTAATTCTCAGGGCTGAGTTTGCTATATTATATTATTAATACTTCTTCCTTTGCTAGCAGGTATCATTGATTAAGACAGTTTTCTAAGATTCTGTTTCTGCTTTTTTTTTTTTTTTTCCTTTTTTTTTTTTTTCCTTTTTTTTTTTTTTAAAGAAACAGGTTCTTGCTCTGTTGCCCAGGCTGGAATGCAGTAGCATAACCAGCTCACTACAGCCTCCAACTCCTGGGCTCAAGCAATCCTCCCACCTCGGCCTCCCTAGTAGCAAGGACTACAGGTGGCACCATCATGCCTGGCTAATTGTAAACAATTTTAGTAGAGACTGGGTCTCATTATGTTACCCAGGCTGGTCTCAAACTCCTGTCCTCAAGCGACCCTTCCACCTCTGCCTCCCAAAGTGCTGGGATTACAGATGTGAGCCACTGCGCCTGGCCTGCTTCTTTCTTCACTAAATTACCCTGGAGGCCCCAAGGGAGCCAGGCCTAATGTTGGGTGGGTGGGAATTAGTGGAATCAAATGTGCACAGGAACATGTCTCATGTCATACAACATAGAGTCCTGGGTGGTGGGTCAGGAGGCCTGGATCCAAGCCCCAACCCTGCTGCTTACAAGCCATGGTGCCTTGCCTAAGACACTGAGCCTCTCCATGCTTCAGTTCCCTCATCTGCAAGCAATAGCCCCCAACTTATCACACAGGACACGGTAAGGATGGGGTGAAGTAACGGAGAGAAGGTACACTATGTGAAAAACTGTTCTATGAGGGAATATATTGTATAAAAATTATTTGTTAGAAGATCCTTTGCCCATGCTGGTGCATGCCTGGCGCAGGTCAACATTGCTGAAGTCAAAGCAGGCCAACGGTGCTAGGCATGGAAGCCCAGTGCCATGATGGCCTAAGAGTAGCTGGAGAGCTGCTTCTCCCTACCCACTCCTGAACATACCCATATCTGTCCAGGGAGAGCAGGGAGGATCCAGCTTCCATCCCTAGAAGTGACAGCTTACGGCAGAGCATGCAGGCAGGCATGCCTGTTTCTGTACCCCTCTGTGGTTTTGGAACCAACATGGCTATGCTTCTGGAGGCATGGGGAGGTGGTCTCACAACAAATATGAAACAGTCAGAAAAAGTATGGCTCTGTGAACCCCCTCAGCAGGGACCTTAACATGCTTTTAACCTCCAGGCATTCCCCAAACTTTCCTGCCAGGTGTATTCTTAGCTGCACAGACATAGAGGCGCCAGCTCAGGTTGCTGTGAATCTGCCCAGCAGCTGGAATTAAAAGCCAGGACATCTGGTCCTGGCAGCACTGCGTCCACCACCAGACAAAACATCCTCCCACATGCCAACTCTGATGGGGTGGCGCTGACAGAAGGGGAGCTGAGACATACGGCCTGCAGACAGCAGGTTTTCAGAAGATGGAACCATGGTCGTGGTGAGGAAGGAGTATAGATTTTAGAGTCAGAAGACCTGGAATTGAGTTCTGACCTTTTCACCCAGCTGTGGAGCCTTAGGCATGCCACTTGGTCTCTCAGAGCTTCCCTTTCCCTACGTCTCCCAGTGGGTTGTCAAATGAGCTGTTAAGGATGTGAAAAGCCACAGTTGACTCTGTAGTCCACTTTGTTCCTAAGAGGTAGCCATAAATTTTCTCTGGCATGAAGGTAGAAACACCCTAACTATTCCTCTCCCAAATTCTCCGATTGACTAAGGGAAGGAAATTATTACTGATTGGGTTCCAGTCCCTGTACTAGTGACCTCCTGTGTCCATTTTATTTTATACTCACAATTGATTCTTTAAAGTAGGTACTGTTATGGTTCCTGTATTCACATAAGGATATAGAGTTCAGAGAGTTTAAATAACCTGCTCCTGATCACACAGCTGGTAAATAGAGAAGCTGAGATTCAAATCCAGGTCTAGGTGAGCACAGAGTCTGAGCTCTGGGCTCCATATCACATGGTACCAGGCCTTCTAGTACCAGGAAGATATTGTCACAAAAGATCCCTCCACTGACCCGACACGAACTGACCAGAAAATCAGTTAAAATTGGGTGGCATACAGTTTATCATCCAAACCAGCATGCTTTATCCTGTACACATGATAAAGCAGACAGGATCCCAGGATAACCAGCATAAACCAGGAAATATAGTCACCCTAGTTAAGATGCACATAAGGATGATGGTTCAGCTTGTAATGTATTTCATGGATTCTGGACACACTTTTCTTTCACATTTAACATTGTTACAACCATTAGCATCCTAGCTTCAAAGAAATGCCATGGTTAGGAGTGACAGTGGGAAGCCGGAATGCATCTGTGAAGGGGAAGGAGAGCAGAGGGAAAGGTTCAGTATTTCCCAGGGACCCCCACCTTGGAGGCTGCCAGGGTGAGAACCACATAGGGTGGGTGCCAAGAAGTGGGAAATGAGAGAGCAGAAAGGAGATGGCCAGAGGACACTCCTAAACACCACTCTAGAGAAGACCCACTGGAGGGTAAATTTGGAGGGTCGGAGGAAATAGGACCAGTAGATAGACGGTAAGAAGCCCCAAGTCCTCATCTGAAGAGCAATCGGTTGGACTCTGAAAGTTTTGGTTCAGACCAGGGGCTGTTGTCCCACCTCCGGTGTTGCCTTTGCCCTTATCATTCATTCCCACCCAGACTACCACACTGGGCTGGGCACAGCCCAAGCCGAAGCCCTGGACTCTTCCGGTGGCACCCTGGCAGAGCTGAGCTCATGCATTTCCCCTACTCACTGCAGTACGGAGCATTGGAAGTAGTCAGGAGGTAGACTTTCACTTCCTTGGGAAGTGGCTCTATCTTGACACCGCCGTGTTCCACCAGGCCTGAAAATAAAGAAGCAAAGAAGCAGAGTCCTGAGAAGGCTATCTTAGGGTCCCACAGCACCCAGCCACATGTTTATTAATTCACGCACCCATTTATTCCACAGACATCTACACTCCACACGCACTATGAGAGCGCAGAAAGGAGAATGCAGAAAGGAGACAGCCAGAGGACACTCCTAAACACCACTCTAGAGAGAAAACCCACTGGAGGGTAAATTTGGAGGGTAGGAGGAAATAGGATCAGTAGATAGACGGTAAGAAGCCCCAAGTCCTCATGCTGTATTCTGAGGTGAGTCCTGGGATCCCAGCAACTCGGTCCAGTGGGCAGTAAACACACACATAAATGGCACTATGCTTTTTAGATCATCTGACTCATTCTTGGCAGGTAATTATAAGAAATCTGAAACTGCATCTCGAACTTGCAAAACCAATCTCCTATAGCAGTTGTTTTCATGACACTTACATCCCGTGCAGTGGGAGCACGGTGAAGCACGAAGTGTTTGACCTGAAGACTAGTGGATGACAGGTGGGGAGAGCGCATTCTGGGAAGAGAGTATGGTTACGGCCAAGGCACACAGGTGAGGAAGCCTGATGTACACTTGGAAGTACAAGTAGTTAGCACCATCCGGTGTTCAGTGCAAGGGAAAGTGTAGTGAGACATGAGGCTGGGCAGACAGTGTGAAGCGGCTGTTATGTCTGTGGGTCCATGGCATGTAGGGGAAACTGACATATGCACAATGAGTAGGAAATAATGTTGACTTGTTCTATCATGGGAAGCTACCCTACTTTACTATTTTGTCAAGCTGGTACCCATTTCACTCATATAAGCAGTAGCAAGCTGCTACAGTTGAGTGGCAGCCAGGGGTAGCGGGAAGCAAGAGAGTGTGGGAAGGAGAGAAACCGTTTCCAATGCCCAGGAGTTTTTCCTGGAGCTCTTCATCCTGGATAACCACAAGATATTCATAGCAATGGTCTACACAAGTGAGTTAGAGGCCAGATCCTGCAGCCTTCCTGGCATCCTTTCCCCAGACTGGCCTGGATCATCCAAGAAGGTACCCAAGCCCCCAGCAATTAAGCATCCCCCCAGCTGCCATGAGACCACCAGAATCTCAGACCTCTAATGTGGGTCTTGTGTTCCACTCTTAGGGATTCCCCACCACACAGAGAATTAGGGTCTATGAAGAACTGGAGAATGGCAAGAAGTGAGAAAGATCTATAAGCAGCATCTGGTCCGAGAGTGGGGACCTGTATGTGGGAAGGGTGTGTGTGGAGCAAGGATGGCCATAGGGAACACTATAGAGGGTGAGGGTTGGGGCACGAGAACCAACCATCCATCTCCAAGTAAGAACAGGCTGAGCACCTCATTGCTTAATTTTCTTTTCCCCAATTGGATAGAATTCTTGACCACAGGAGATCAGGACATTAAGAGGGGACAAGTAGTAGGGCTTGAACTTTCCTCACATTGTCAAAGGAAGTCAAAGGGGAAGCACTTTACCTATCCTTGGGCAGGAAAGCAGAAAAGGGTTAAAACAATCCAGACAGTGTCCGGCAAGGAAGGCCGCGTAGCTGTCACAGGGAAAGGCCATCAGTGGACAGGAATTCTCCAGGGCACTGATGTAGAGGTGCACAGCTCTCATGTGATCACAGATCAGATAACTATAACCTGAACAGAGAAAAAACACAACCAAAGTTTCAGTCAAGACAAATGGAATTCCCTCTGTGCTGCTCACTGAAACTCTATTGAATTTTATATTCCAGCAAGCTGTAAATAAATGCATGTGAGTCCCCTCAAATCACTTTTTCAAAATATTAGTGTACATGGTTACTACATTCTACTTTTTCATTTTACTTTTCCTGAGATACATAAGCATAATCCATCAAGAAAATTGCTTGATTTGAGATGCATTCTTTCTTTTCTTTTCTTTTCTTTTTTTCTTTTGAGACAGAATCTCACTCTGTTGCCCAGGCTGGAGTGTAATGGCATGATCTCGGTCCACTGCAACCTCTGCCTCCTGGGTTTAAGTAATTTTTCTGCCTCAGTCTCCTGAGTAGCTGGGCTAACAGGTACACACCATCACACTTCACAAATTTTTGCATTTTTCATAGAAACAGGGTTTTGCCATGTTGGCCAGGCTGGTCTCGAACTCCTGACCTCAGGTGATCCACCTGCCTCAACCTCCCAGAATGCTAAGATTACAGGTGTGAGCCACCATGCCCTGGCCTTGAGATGGATTCTTATATGATCATGCAAACTCTCCTTCATAAAATGGGAATATATAGAGAGTTGATGATGCTGCCCCACTTCTCAAAATGGGTATTTGTGCATATTTTTACTTTCTTCATCATCACCCATACAACAAATTTTTTACAACCTCATTATACCCAACCCAGCAATGAGACTGCTGCATCAGCCGCAGTTTATGGTCGATCACTCTCTACAGCCAATGTGCTGAGGTTCACCGGGCCAAATGACTGATATGCTGAATTTGTCAAATATCCCAGTTTACCAAAACTTAGTTTCATTGTTATTTACTATTTAAGGTTGCAGCATTCGACATTGGTTAAATTGGTTGGAACTAAGAAGTATGTGGTGAGCTACAACTCCAGGGTCCTGGGGTCTTCAAACTCTCCCTACACCTTGAGACCTCGTTGCTGAGACCTGCAACCAAAGCCAAGCAGAATTTTGACTTTCCTTTCCCCTGTGGTTGGGACACTCTCTATGGTCAAGCTCTTTCCAGCTGCAACAGGGAACTGGGGCAGAGACAAACTAAACCCTTCTCAAATTGTGTTATGGAGAAAAAGTGAAAAGTGGTCAATTGAAATGCCACCAAATCTTCAAAAGCCATTGAAACCAAACTCCTATTTTATCAGAATTGCTGAGAAATTCACAAATTGCAAAAAGAAGCATGTTTTTGGAAAACTAGTAAATTTGGTAAAATCAATGAGTAGTTATTCAATAAGATTGTCAAAGGAATCCTTAAAATGTTAAAAATTTGGTAAAGCAAGACAAGACTAAAAACATAGTAAACAGAACTCAGCATTTTAAATTTTTATATGAAATGCTGATATATTGGCTATATTCATAAGATATAAGAAAACCAAATAATTATTGATCTTAGCTTTTGACACATTTAGTATGCTAAGAATATATCAATAAATATATTAAAAAGAACATTCCAGAAGGCTATATTTAAAGAGAGGAAATGTACGGTCATTGAGTGTGTTCAAAAAGATCATCTTGAAAACAATTTTAGAGAACTGTTAGAGTTGGTAAATGTGGTGAAATGACTGGGCAGTGAATTGATCCTTCTGCTCACCAGCTTTGGGCAGGATGGCTTGCTTCTGCCAAAGCAAGGCTCTGTAGAGGATGCAGTTGGTGTAGACTGTGCCACACCCTCCCCTCAAATGCCTGGGCTCTGAAGACGTCCATCCTTGAATACACTCTGAGTAAGGCATTATGGGACATAGCAAAGGACACTTGTCAAGCAGACCCTCTGTGGGCCATTCTGGCTGACTCAACACAACAGCTGTTGGTGAATTCCAATCTCTGGGGTCGCCAAATACCAACTTTTACTGGATTTCTGACCTGCATAAAAGTAGGTGGGGCAGCCGGGTTGGTCTTGGCCTCCATTGACAAAGTAGTCCACGTGTCCAACGGGAATCCGAATACCGAAATCTGAAAGGAGACAGAACTCCATTAACTTCTTTGCTTCAGGGAGTTGGCTGGCAGCAGACCTCAAACTCTGACCTCAGGAGCCCACCCACTGTCTGCCCCGTCACTTCTAAGTGCTGTGAGACTTCACAGGATGAGCCCTCAGACAGATTTTCCTTTCCTTTCCTTTTCTTTTCTTTTCTTTCTTTCTTTCTTTTTTTTTTTTTTTTTTTTTGAGACAGAGTTTCACTCTTGTCACCCAGGCTGGAGTGCAGTGGTGCGATCTCTCACTGCAACCTCTGCCTCCTGGATTCAACGATTCTCCTGCCTCAGCCTCCGAGTAGCTGGGATTACAGGCTCATGCCACCACACCTGGCTAATTTTTGTGTTTTTTTTTTTTTTTTTTAAGTAGAGACAGGGTTTCACCAGGTTAGTCAGGCTGGTCTCAAACTCTTGACCTCAGTTGATCCACCCACCTCAGCCTCTCAGTTTTCTAAAGGGATTTTTCATGCTAAAAGGAACCAAAGAGATTCAGTTGGTAAGATGCTCATATTTGCCTAAGAAAATCAAGAAAAATATCCTGTAACACAAGGTTTTGTAACTCAGTAAATGTTATAAACTTGGTAAATTTCCTCATTGAGTAGTATCAGTTTCCTTTTGAGTAATAGTTCAGGTAAACATGTTTGGGGTCACATTTCCACAGTCCCCCCTAAAACATATCTTTGTGCTCTCCTGAGTGGAAATAGGACACGGCTCCAGAGCTGAGGTAAGAGAGCATCTTCTGCCCTCATTGTGTCCCTGTGACCAACTCCTGGATGCTCCACTGTGGCAGACTTGAGCCCTCAGACTGGCTCAGGCCCAGCTGGTGAAGACCCCGACTTTCTCCTTCCTATCACCTGTCACTATTGGAAGAAAATGATTGTGTATTATTTGCTTACTGCCATCAACCTGGAGGTTAAGCAATGACCTAGAAGCCACCCTTGAGTCTTGCCTTTCCCTCATACCCCACATGCAGCCCTTCACGAGTCTAGTCAACTCTACTTCCAAAACATATTTTGAATCTGTCTACTTCTCTCTGTCTTTACTGCCACCACCTTTACCCAAGTCACCATCATCTCTCACCCGGACCCCTACTGCAGACACTCTCTAATGGGCGTCCGGGCTTCCCTTGGTGACTCCTACGGTCCATGTAGCCTGTAAGCTCCATGTAGGCAGGGACCTCATTCAATGTGTTGATCATTGCTAAATTCTCAGCACCTGCCACGCAGCTTAATAAATAGTGATTGAATAAATATAATTTTTTCTTTTTAAGTCACATCAGGGAGAGGCTCCAACTTTGAAGGGGCCTGAGAGGCCTCGCTTAGATAAATGGGTACCTAATAAGTCCCATATTTAGCAAATTTAAGGATAGAAAGGATTCACTTTTTTTTTTTTTTTGAGACGGAATCTCTCTCTGTCGGCCAGGCTGGAGTGTAGTGGCCGGATCTCTGCTCACTGCAAGATCCACCTCCTGGGTTCACGCCATTCTCCTGCCTCAGCCTCCCGAGTAGCTGGGACTACAGGCGCCTGCCACCACACCCGGCTAAATTTTTGAATTTTTTTTTAGTAGAGACTGGGTTTCACTGTGTTAGCCAGGATGGTCTCGGTTTCCTGACCTCGTGATCTGCCCGCCTCAGCTTCCCAAAGCGCTGGACTTACAGGCGTGAGCCACTGTGCCCGGCCAGGATTCACTTTTTAAATGAACAAGCTTAACTCACCTAATATAGCTAGGATGAGGCCTGTGGGCTTTGGTTTCCTATCTGTGAAATAAAGGTGGGAAGAAGAGTTGGACAATATAACTGCGTGTGTTTCTTTCAGAATCATGAGTCTTAAATGCCAAAAAGAGACTTCTGACCACAGGAAAAGAGACGTGGACATCTCTCACTTGAGCTGCAAGCTCCTCTGGTCAGGGACAGATGTTATTTCTCCCTGCACCCACCACACTAAGCACAGACCTCATGGGCATTGGCTGCGGAGCAGAAATGAAGAGGAATGCCCCCGCCTTTCCCAACTGGTCAGAAGAACTTAAGTTGGTCATAACAGGTTGAGAGTTGGAGAATCTTTCCTGTGCCTGTCACTACTGGAATAGGGGTTCTTTTTCTTTTTCTTTCTTTCTTTTTTCTTTTTTTTCTTTTTTTTTTTTTTTTGAGACAGACTCTCGCTCTGTCCAGGCTGGAGTGCAGTGGTGCGATCTCGGCTCACTGCAAACTCCACCTCCTGGGTTCACGCCATTCTCCTGTCTCAACCTCCCGAGCAGCTGGGACTACAGGTGCCTGCCACCACGCCTGGCTAATTTTTTGCATTTTTAGTGGAGACGGGGTTTCACCGTGTTAGCCAGGATGGTCTTGATCTCCTGACCTCATGATCCACCCACCTCGGCCTCCCAAAATGCTGGGATTACAGGCGTGAGCCACAGCGCCCTGCCCAGAAGAGGGATTCTTATTCTCCACTGGACTGAAGGGCCAAGCTTGTCATCTGGGGAGGAGGGAAGTTGTGACACGCCTGCCTGCCTGCGGGGGCCCAATCCCTTGGGACCAGGCACACCCATCCTAAAAAAGCTTCATGACTTTCCCATAAGTCAGCCAGACAGCAATGCCCTACCCAGTACTGCTTAGCACACTGTTGTTGCTGCATTCGTTTGAATCAGAAAGTGAGATTCGGCCGGGCGCGGTGGCTCAAGCCTGTAATCCCAACACTTTGGGAGGCCGAGACGGGTGGATCACGAGGTCAGGAGATCGAGACCATCCTGGCTAACACGGTGAAACCCCGTCTCCACTAAAAAATACAAAAAACTAGCCGGGCGAAGTGGCGGGCGCCTGTAGTCCCAGCTACTCGGGAGGCTGAGGCGGGAGAATGACGTGAACCTGGGAGGCGGAGCTTGCAGTGAGCTGAGATCCGGCCACGGCACTCCAGCCTGGGCGACAGAGCGAGACTCCGTCTCAAAAAAAAAAAAAAAAAAAAAAAAAAAAGAAAGTGAGATTCATAACCAAGTACTTTTGGTCTGTGAGTGAGAATCCTCCTGCCTATGGTGGCTAAAAAATACAACCATTCACCTCAGTGGTCACAGAGACAGAGCCAGAAGAGATTTTCAATATCATTTTGGTAAACTCCTCACTGTGCAGCAGAATCTCAGAGAGGGGGCAGGGCATCTCTGCCCAGGGTCACACAGCTAGATGCCAGCCTCCTAGGCGCTGCCTTGAGCTCATTCCCTCACCCCAGGAAGGTCACCCCAGCTCACTGTCAGTGTCTGTGTGGATGGCTTCCACGAAGAGGGCATCTCCGGCATCCAAGCGCTCCTCCACACTGGCGCTGGTGTACTCAGGTCCAGCGGGGTCCAGGCCTGTGAGAAGAGACTGATATGAGGGACCACTTTCCTCTCAGCTGCAGGAACATTCATGGACCCACCACACACCCACCACTTCCAGTGCAGATCGTAGAGCCTCCCTGAAAAGACCCAAGGGTTGGGAGAATTAGCTGAGGACCATCTTCCTCAGGATACCCCACTCTCTGTTGTCTCTCTAGAGGTAACCTCTCAATGACCCAGTTTCTCTGGCTCTAAGATGAGCTTGAGGCTGCGCGTGGTGGCTAATGCCTGTAATCCCAGCACTCTGTGAGGCCGAGGCTGGCAGATCACGAGGTCAGGAGATCGAGACCATCCTGGCTCACATGGCGAAACCCCGTCTCTACTAAAAATACAAAAAATTAGCCGGGCGTGGTGGCGGGCGCCTGTAGTCCTAGCTACTAGGGGGGCTGAGGCAGGAGAATGGCATGAACCCGGGAGGCAGAGGTTGCAGTGAGTCGAGATCATGCCACTGCACTCCAACCTGGGCAACAGAGCAAGACTCCATCTCAAAAAAAAAAAAAAAAAAAAAGAGCTTGATAACACCAATTATTTGATAGAAGTTAATATAATGTAAAGCTTGTTACTGCCTTCATATAGTAACAGCAATAGCTACAATTTCTTCGAGCAGTAACTATGGACCAGGCTTTACGCCAGGCAGTTTTACACACTGTAGTCCTCACCATAACACAGTGATAACTGTGAATACTACTATTCCCATGTCTCAGTTTGGATCTCTTCCCTTCCCCTACAAAAAGCAGACCCTGCCACAAGAGTTCAAGGTAGATTTGGGAGAAAGTCTCAGAAAGCATGGTGAGGGAGTGGGAAAGCAGGTCAGGAAATAAAGGAAAATAGTAGTGAGTAGGATATCCCCATGGGCTTTCACCCCACTGGAGTGCCTCTGTGAGATTCTGTAAAACAAGACCCAGAATTGTCCCACTGAAAGGCCAGGAAGCTGAGGGTTTTTGCCATACAACTGCAGTCCCTTATTAACTGAGAGTGGCTCTGGAAGCATAAAGTCCTCCACACTTTTACATGTATATAGCAAAACTGTGTAAAGTTTATTTCCACAGTGGGCCAAGGAGATGTGGGCTGTTACCACTATTTTACAGATGTAGAAACTGAGGCTCAGAAAGAAATAGAAGGGGAAGTGCTTGCCAGAGCAATCAGGCAAGAGAAAGAAATAAAAGGCATCTAAATAGGAAAAGAGGAAGTCAAATTGTCTCTCTTCATCAATGAAGAGAACCCTAAATGTTTGACCAAAAGACTTCTAGACCTGAAAAACAACTCCAGCAAAGTCTCAGGACACAAAATCAATGTACAAAAGTCAGTTGCATTTCTATGCACTAAGAACATTCAATCTGAGAGCCAAATCAAGAATGCAATCTCATTTATGATAGTCACACACAAAAATAAAGTACCTAGAAGCACACCTAACCAAAAGAGCGAAAGAGCTGTACAAGGATAACTCTAAAACCCTGCTAAAAAAAATAAAAAAATAAAAAAAAAAAAAAAAAAATCACAGGTGACACAAACAAATGCAAAAATATTCTATGCTTTTGCATAATATTTGCCAAAGTATTCTGTATTCTATGCAGGGTTGGAAGAATAAATATCATTAAAATATCCATTTTGCCCAAAGCCATCTACAGATTCAATCCCTACCAAATTACCAATGTCATTTTTCACAGAATTATAAAAATCTATTCTAAAATTTATATGGCACAAAAAAGAGCCCAAATAGCCAAGGCAATCCTGAGCAAAAAGAATAAAGCTGGATGCATCACACTACCCAATTTCAAACTATACTATAAGCCTACAGTAATCAAAACAGTATGGTACTGGTACAAAAATAGATACATAGGCCAATGGAACAGAATAGAGATCACTGAAATAAAGAAGCACACCTATCACCATCAGACATTTGACAAAGTTGACAAAAATTAACACTTTTTTTTAGAGAAAAAGATACCCTATTCGATAAATGATGTGGGAAAACTGGCTGACCATATGCAGGAGAATGATTCTGGACCCATAGCTCTCACCATATACAAAACTTACTCAAGAAGGATTAAAGACTTAAATGTAAGACCTCAAACTATAAAAATCCTAGAAGAAAATCTGGGAAATACTCTCCTGAATATTAGCCTTAGGCAAAGCATTTATGACCAAGTCCTCAAAAGCAAATGAAACAAAAACAAAAATTGGCAAGTGAGACTTAAACTAAAGACCTTCTGCACAGCAAAAGAAACAACCAATGGAGTAAACAGACAACCTACAGAATGGGGGAAAATATTCACAAACTATGCATCTGACAAAGGACTAATATCCAGAATCTATAAGGAACTTGAACAAATGAACAAGAAAAAACAACCCCATTAAAATGAGGGTGAAGGACATGAAAAGAGACTTCTTGAAAGAAGACATACAAGTGGCTAACAAACATATGAAAAAATGTCACCATCACTAATCATCACACCGTGATATACCATCTCACACCAGTCAGAATTGCCACTATTAAAAAGTAGAAAATAAATAAATAGATGTTGGCAAGGCTGCAGAGAAAAGGGAATAGTTATACACTGTTGGTGGGCATGTAAATAAGTTCAGCCAGTGTGGAAAGCAATCTGAAGATTCCTGAAAGAACTAAAAATAAAATCACCATTTGACCCAGCAATCTCGTTGCTAGATATATACCCAAACAAAAAGAATTTCTTCTACCAAAAGGATACCTGCACTAGTATGTTCATTGCAACACTATTCACAATAGCAAAGACATGGAATCAACCCAGGTGCCCACCAATGGTAGACTGGATAGAGAAACTGTGGTCCACATACCCTATGGAATTCTACACAGCTATAAAAAAGAATGAAATTATGTCCTCTGCAGCAACATGAATGTAGCTGGAGGTCATTTTCCTAAGCCAATTAATGCAGAAACAGAAAACCAAATACTGCATGTTCTCACTTACAAGTGGGAACTAAACATTGGGTGCACATGGACACAAAGATGGGAACGATTGGCACTGGGGATTCCAAAAGGGGGAGGAAAAGCAAGGGGAAAGGGTGGAATAACTGCCTATCAAGTACTGATTGCTACTTGGGCAACGAGATCATTAGAAGCCCAAAGTTCAGCATTGCATGCTATACCCATGTAATAAACCTGCACACGTAAACCCTGAATCTAAAATAAAATTTTTTAAATAAGAAATTTAAAAATAAAAAGTGAAAAAAGAAATACATGGCCTCTCACATTGATATTAGAAATCATGCAATAATAACACACACCATTTTATACAAAAGAACCACAATAAATAAATTTTAGTGGTAATAGGTGACTTGATTGTAAGAACAAAGGCTCCATACTCCCCTCTGCTTGCCTTAGAGGAGAGATTTTCAGGGAAAGCTTTTCTATCTCTAAAGCCTGGAGGATGGGCAGGGATGAATGTTACCTGTGATCTGTCCCAGCTGGCCTCCGAAGAGCTGTCCCACCATGCCCCCAACGTGGGCCCCCAGGCTAACACCAATGATGTGGATTGAGGATTCCGACACACCCAGCACCTAGAAGAGCAGGGGCAGTGAGCTCCCCGTGGGCCACAGAGTCTGCTGGCTTCGCAGTGGCAGGCTTTCCCCGAAAGCTTCAGAAGCCGAGGCCCTGGGCATGACAGAACCACCACACTTACTTTGGAGGGAAAATGGACAGCACTCTCATCATTAATCACTTCTTCTCTTCCTGGGCTTCCCACCCTGACAACCCACTCACTCTCCTTTTGGTGCCCAAAGTATGTGAGTAATGACCACGGCCATTCTCTCTTGAGGGACAACTAAGTACCAGGCCATCTGCATTCGCTGTCCAATGTGCCATGACACATTTTACAGAGGAGCAGTGGGAAGCTCAGAATGTTCAATAACCTGCCTAAGGTCAGTGCTGTGAGTGGCAAAGTCAAGATTTGAACCCAAGACCACCAAGCTACCCGGTGACTCTGTTTCCACCCTAAGCCTCCTCAGGCAGTGCTTTTGTCTTTCTGACCCTCTCTCCTCATACGCAGCCCAAACTCACCTGAAGCTCTTCTGCACCTACCAGGAGTTTATTGAGGAAAAGGCAGATCTTGAGGCTCAACTTAATCACATTTTTCACAGCTAAGAAGTAGACCCCTGTAGACCCATAAATCCAGTCCACGACAATCACATTAGCATTCGTTGCACGCAGAAGAGTTCTAATGAATTTATCAATCCAGGAAGGCTTTGTTCCTAAAACACTAGAGAGGGGCCCAAAAAAGGATGGAGAAATTACCCACCAAGTGGATACTCATTGTCATTTAAAACCTCTATTAATCCCAAACCCAGAAAAGAAGTCAAAACTAGAGGAGTTTATTACACAGCACTTGGAGCATAGGGAGGACACAATTCCAAAGTTGTCAGCCCTTCCGCCAGCACATATGCAGTCTTTGTGTAAATTATAAAACTTTGCCTTTTGTTCCAGGTAGAGGCAGCCTCATGCCAGGGTTCAGAACTCAGGTTGGATTTCAGCCCCATCAGCCTTTTGTCAGGCACCTTTGCGCAATGCATAAACCACATAAACTGTATACATTGCATCGCTCCATTTGTGTTATTTGTGGAAAGGAAAAGATAGCTTTGTGCCCTAGAGTTAAGATTTGCAATCTTAATTCTCATTCTAAAATATAGGCTCTTTCTTTGTGGACATTTTCTTTTTTTCTTCTTTCCTTCTCTGTCTTTCTTTCTTTCTTTCCTTCTCTGTCTTTCTTTCTTTCTTTCTTTCTTTCCTTCTCTTTCTTTCTTTCTTTCTTTCTTTCTTTCTTTCTTTCTTTCTTTCTTTCTCTCTCTCTCTCTCTCTCTCTCCCCCTCCCTCCCTCCCTCCCTTCCTTCCTTTCCTTTCCCTTCCTTTCCTTTCTTTTCTTCCTTTCTCTTTCTTTCTTTTTCCTTCCTTGTTTGTTTCTTTCTCTCATTCACCCATCGATTTATTCAACAAACATTTATTGAGTATCTATGGGCCAGGCAGTATGCTAGGTGCTTTCCAAAAAATAAAGACAAATAAGATATCGTCCCTATCCTTCTGGAACTTACAGTATAATGGGAGTTTTCCAGGAAAAGGAAAATGATAGAAAAATGTTTAGAAATCTTTCCCAACAGATTGGGATCAGGAAATAAGTTTTTTGATGGCTCCCAGTATAGAAGCAAAGAGAGCACGCTCATGCGGGCAGAGGAGTGTGGACTGGGTGTGTGCCAGAGAATGGGGTTGCGGGATTTAAGAGCAGACAGAGTGCCTCGCCTGACGGAGCTCTCCACCTCTATTAGCTATCCCTGGGTTGGAGGTACACACTCAGCCTTGGAAAGTGGTCGAATGTAAGCTTTGCTAGAGGAGAGGCTTTGGCACAAGAGCAAGGAAGCAAGAAGAGAAGCCTAAGGAAACGTGGCTGAGTCCTTGGAGTCCAGGGATCTGAGAGGCAGAGACAGGCCAGAGATCAGGAAATGGTGGTCCTTTGTGCATGGCCTTTGTGTCTACCTTTTCATTGGGTGCCCCGAACTCTACTTGTTCCATGGTGCTGTTACTTTACCATATTCTCTCCCTCTTTCCTCCCATAAACCTTTCTCTATTTCTGGGCTTATTGATGGGCTTTGGAGAAAAGCTGTTCAAAGAAAGGATGGTGATTGGAATTGAGACTCAGTGACTGTATATTACAACAAAATGTGGACTGGAGAGTGTCAGAGAAATTGAAGAAGAGAACTACATAGCTCCATCACACCCATAACCTCTGGGTATGATGGAAGTGGCACCCACAAATGGAAGTTTCTTAGGTCATAAAACCAGGGAAGAAGTGAAGAAGGGGAAATACAACCCTGGGTAATAAAGGCTCTGTGTATGGAGATTTGTCCAGAGTCACAGACATGTACTGTTTGTGAGTGTGTAGACAAGACTGGCTGGGGAAGTACGATACATGACCAATAAGAATGAACACCATGTGTGCATGTTGACATGAGACCCATCAAAGACAGCAGGACATGAGGGATGGAACATGTGACCTTTGGTAAACTCATTCTTCCCTCTTGTTCCCCACTAACTTCTTATGGTATTATGGTTACTTGATCATTCGTAGCTGAGAGGTCCTGTTAGTTAGTTAACTCCCACCTGAATCCATGGATAATTAGTTTGGTTCCCAGAGTGGCATTGAACCCAGAGTTTTGGAGGTCACTGCTTCCTTCTACTAGCTTCCCACAGTTAGGATTCGAAGGGACAAAGAGGAGAAACTGGACTTTGAGATCGGAGCCTTCAAAAAGGTTGGCGCTCTGGAACTCAGCGCACTTTGGCTGTGGGGTAGGAGGTGCATCCCCTGGAGGAAAATAAAACAAACGAGAAACATCCAAATGTGAGGTCATCTGTTCTTAGAAGGAAGAAAGACAACCTTGGAAGGAAGCAAGAAACAGGGGCCTGCAGTCATGGGGTTTATTATACATCACTTAGTGCAATAACCACTCATTTATTACAGCCTGCATCACTTCTGTAATGAAACTCTGTGAATATTTTTCATGCCTAAGGACAAAATAGCAAGAGAAGAGATATTGCTCAACTAGATGAGCTTAAAGGCCATGGTGAAATGGCTGTTGTTCTGGGCTGAACTGAGTCTCATCCCCCAAAATTCATATGTTGAAATCTTAACCCCCAATACTTCAGAATGTGACAGTATTTGGAGGTAGGGTCTTTACAAAGGTTAAAAGGAGTGCAACAGAGTGGGCCTAAATCAATATGACTATTGTCTTTATATAAAGAGGAAATTTGGACACAGACAGAGGAAAGACAATGTAAAGACACAGGGAGACAGTGGCCATCTACAAGCTAAGGGCAGGGGCCTGGAACAGATCCTTTGCTCATTGCCCTGAAGGAACTAACACTGCCAACATCTTGATCTCAGACTTCCAGCCTCCAGAACTGTGAGGCAATACATTTCCATTGTTCAAGCCACCCAGTCCACAGCACTTCATAATGGCATCCCTAGCAAACTAGTAGAGAAGTCTAAATAGAACCCTGGTCAGCCAAATGAACAGTTGCCCTGGGGACTAGCCTCACTCTAGTCTGAACACTCTGTCCCAGAAGGATTTCCAACCCCTTAGCCCCGCCTAATCACTTCTTGTCCTTATGAGCAGTCAAGAGCCCTGCCATAGCCTTCCAGTGCCCAGCCCATGGCCTAGAGAGATGGTAGAGAAGAGCCTTAACAAGCCCCATCTACTTCACAGCACCTTACAATAGATACCTTTACAATGGAAATTCTCTGGCCAAGATAACTGTAGGCCTTTAAAAAACACTGAACAGAAAAGGCAACGTGAAACTCCTGCTTCCCAGGGAGCTGAAAATCTGGCCCATTTTCAATACCTAGCATCCCACCCTGATCCCCACTTCTGTGATGCAGAGGTGTGGTCCCTGACTTCCATGCATCCCACAGGGAGACTGGCAGGAGCAGCAGGGTGCACGCTGACCCACAGAACAGGGCCCCACACAGCATTGCTGCCACCAGACAAAGTGATTCACAGAATCAGAGGTTCAGAGGAGAGGTCCGGATTGCAGACTTTGGTTTGTGTGGGCCCCTTTGTCAAGGAAGACGTAACTTTAGGTTTCTGGAGTGATCATCTGCTATCAGAGGTAACTGGGAGCCCATATACAACCGGGGTGTGGATCTGGGATGCTCTGGTGTATGGTGCTATGAGTGTGGAGAATACCTCAAGCCACGAGGCCTTCTGGAGCATTGCTGAGGTAGACTAGAGGTTTCCCCATCACTGCTTCTGAGCCCCCAGACTTTATCCCCAATCCCCTTGCAGAGCCAGACCAAGCAGACAGGTTTGGAGGCTCCTGGGAAGAAGCCCACTCTGAGAGTGCGAGCCCTAAGCTCTTCAGCCTGCGGTTTGAATTCCCACAGCACATGAGAGAGCTAATGCCTGACTCCATCCTTTTATCAGCCTCCCCCAGCGTTTGGCTCTTTAAAGAAAAGATGAAAGGACTGTGCTTCAGCATGAGACGTGAACCACATTAATGAGTCAATCTGCTCTGTTGTTCACATAGGGAAGCCTGCATCCATCAGAGAGTCTGAGTCCTTTTAAATAACCATAATATGTCACAAAGCAGGCCCAAATAATCACCAAAGAATCAATATCATCTAAATAAAATGTAATAAAACTAGAAATCAATAACAAAAATTATTTTAATATACATTTGGAAATGTAAAAACACCCCCTCCCATTTTTTCCAATAAGACAAGCCCATCCCATGTGCCTGTGGTATTTTTACCAGCCCACACAAAGAGAAGCTCCTGGGCACAATTCCTCATGGACATATATTGCTGAAACTTGTTCAAGATTTTTAAAAATTTTTTATATTCAGGTAAAAAAATATATAAATTATCATCTTTACCTTTTTTAAGTGTACAGTTCAGTGGTAATAAATACACATATATTCTTTTCTCCTCTTCATTCCCAACTCCTCTCCCCTTCTCAGCCTCTGGGAGCCACAATCTACTACTCTCTATCATCATGAATCCACCTTTTTAGCTCCTGCATATGTGTGAAAACGTGATATTTGTCTTTCTGTTCTTGGTTTATTTCACTTAACACAATGGCCTCCAGTTCCATCCATGTTGCTGCAAATGACAGGATTTCCTTCTTTTTAAAGGCTGAATAGTATTCCTTTGTGTATATATACCACATCTTCTTTTTTTTATTCATTCATCTGTTGATGGATTCTTAGGTTGGTTGGTTCTATATCTTGGCTATTGTGAACAGTGCTGAAATACACATGAAAGTGCAGATATCTCTTTGATATACTGACTTCCTTTCCTTTCTTTTGGATATATACCCAGTAGTGGAATTGCTGGATCATATGGAAGTTCTATCTTTAGTTTTCTGAGGAGCCTCCATCCTATTCTCCATAGTGGCTATACTAATTTACACTCCTACCCACAGAAAAACACCCTTTTAACCTTTTAAGGAATGTATGGGTTAAAGAATAATCACAATGAAAACTACAGAATATTAAAAACTAAATGACAATAAAATCAACACATATCAAAACTTGCAAAGAGTGGCTAAAACAGCACTTGGGTTGTTAAAATAATTACTTGGGAAGCCATTAGACTGAGGCAGCTCTAGTGCTTGAGTTCCTATAGAAGCTCACCAAACCTCAACTCATAGTGAACAGCTATGTCCTATGAGGCTTAAGCTTTAGCACTCAGAAGCTGCCAACTAACCTAGGGACCTTAAGGTACTGCTCCACTTTAATCAATCAAATATTTTCTTTGCCTTGCTCCATAGGCACCTTATAAAATTTCTTCCTCATACCCCTTTGGTGGAGCCCTGAGCCACTTGCAATGTGAAGCTGCCCAAACCATGAATCACTGTTTGTTCAAATAATCTCTTTAAAATTTTGATGCGCCTAAGTTTACCTTTTAATAGGGAAAAATGTATAACCTTACATGCAAATGTTAGGGGGGAAAAGGGAAAGACTCAGATTAAATAAGTTAATATTTTAACTCAGAAAAGAATACCACAGTAATCCCAAATAAAATATAGGGAAAGAAATATAAAGGTAATAGTTGAAATGGAAGAAATAGAAAATAAGGAAATATGAGCAACATTGGTAGCAACTAGTCATTACAATTTCTCAGGCTTTGCAAAGTTGCCTGGGATGTCTTTGACTCTTCCCTGTCTCTCACTTCCCACATACAATTGGTAAGTTCTGTTAGCTTGAACATCAGAATGAAATATTCAGAATCTAACCCTTCTCACCACCTTGGTCCAAGCCATCATCATCTCTCACAACCACTGCCATAGCCTGCAACTGCGTTTCTTGCCCTCTCTTTTGGCCCCTTCAGTCTATTTGCAACACAGCAGTCAAGATTTTTCTTTAAGTCAGTCGAGTCACGTTACATCTCTGTGCAAAAGTGTCCAAGCCTTTTCACTCAGATAGAAACCTGAAGTCCTAACAACGGACTGTAAGGCCCTAACTGAGCTAATCCACCCCACTCCAAGAGTCCTTTGCCTTATGCTAAAATCACTCACTTTTGCAGCCAGTTATTCTCCTGGCCCTTCCTCACTCTAGATGGCTTCCTGCCTGAGGGTCTTTGCCCGGCCATTCCTTCTGCCTGTAATGCACTTCCCTTATGTATCTACATGGCAGTTCCTTCCCCTCCTTCAAGTCTTTGCTTGTCAAGTGCTCTCTTCTCTATTCTCACATCCTATTTCAGTTGTAACCTGCTTGTGTTCCTCACCTCATTTCTCTCAATCTTCCTTACCCTGGTCTATTTGTTAGCAATCATCACCTTCTAATCTACTATGGAATTTGCCAAGTTATTATACTATTGTCTATTGGTGGTCAGTCCACATTAGAATGTACTTTTGAACAAAGCAGGGGTTTTTAAAATCCATTTTATTCACTCTACTGCCTAAAGAAGTAGCTGTCACACACGAAGAGCCAGTACTCAAAACTAGCTCTTGAAAAAGAATAATGAGTTAGATGTACTTTTGATAAGACGGAATAAGAGAAAAAAGGGAAGGTACAAGTAAACAATATCAGGAATAAAAAGGGGATATAAATACAGACAGTAGATTTCCTTAAACCATAAAAAAGTTTATATGTACCCCAAAACTGAAAATACTGATATTTTGCTAGAAAATGGATAATTTCCTAGAAAAATGTAACTTACCAAAACTTAGTCAAGAAAGGAAAAACAGAAAATCAAATGTAAAACTATAGCATAAAGGAATTGAAACACTAGTTTCAAAACTATCCCTCAAAAAAGTCTAAGAAGCCTGAGAGTTTTACAGAAGAATTCTATAAATCCAGCAATCCCTAGCTTACACATGCTGTTCCAGGAATAGAAAATGGGAGACAGGATTCCAGTTCATTCTATGAGAATATCCAACATACCAAAACTGCACAAGGACAGGCGAGAAGAAAAACTAAAGGCTACTTTCATGTATGAACATAAACAGAAATCTAAGATAAGATATCAGCAAATCTAAATCCATCTGGGATAACAAGACCACAAAGTATATCATGGCCCAGCAGGGTTTGCTGGGTCAATTCTTTGCAAAGAATTAAAGTTTATTTTAACATTAGAAAAAGTACTAATGCAATTCACATATGAACAAACTAAAGAAGAAAAATCATATGCTCATCTCAATGGATGAGCAGAAAAAAAGAACGCTTGACAAAATTCAACACTCTTTAACATAAGAAAGGATATCTACTAAAAGCCTATAGTAAAGATTAGATTTACTGGGAAACATTAGAAGTATTCCATCTAGAACTGGGAACAGATGAGAAATGTCTGCTACCACTGCTTCTGTTAAATATTGTGCTAGAGGTCCTAGTCCTAACCACTGAAACAAGACAATACAATGGGATAAAAGTTATAAAGTTTGAAAAGGGAGAGAAGAAAATTGCCAGTATTTGAAGCTGAAAAATAGGGAAGCAAATTCAGATACTGACTCTACCTAGCCACCACTCCAACCAAAGAACAGTGACAGCTGAGTATCTGGCCAGGCTGACCAGAGGTTTACAAACAATAGAAAGGAGGGGTGAAGAATGAAATACTGGCTTGTCTGAGTCTGAAAAGAGCCTATAGTTTTCTGTTCTTGAATCTTTGACACTGAAGAAATGTTAGAGAAGGGTGAGTAAAGCCTGGTAACACCCATGTTACCATAATGGGAAGTGACTCTCAGGCATATATGACAGAGCTCCCTTCACCCTCCTGGGATGCTCGTGGTTCCCATGGGTGGCCTCTGTGATCTGTAAATGCTGGAAATGTGCTCCTCTACACTGCCACCTGCATCTCTCTCAGCTGTGTTCTGTAGATTGGTATCCCCTATGTGCTTTTGTTTCATAGAAGTGTTATTTTGCTAAAACAGTTTTGATTGTGTGACCTGGACCAAGAACGGATGGGTGCTCTGGCAGTGACAGAGTTGGCACAAAACCATATCAGACACTTTATCAAATGTGGAGATGACAGAGGAACCATTGGTGCATGTGTCGGGAAGTGGGTGCCCTTCTCCAGGCTCCTCGGGAGGACACTGCAGGAGGGGAGGAGGGCGGAGGCCCCCTCCCAGTAGCTGACTTGAGGGTGGCTCTGCCATGCATGCAGGGTGCAGTACCACCTTCAGGTCCAGGCTGGCCTTGGAGAGGTTGGTGTCACAGGCTGCTTCTACTCAGCTGTCTCTGCCGCCAGCTCAGCACTATGGGCCCCTGAACTTCCTGCCACCCCCTTGAGCCCTGGGCTCCCCACAGACAGAGCTGTGCCATCAGATGACCTGTGGATTGAGGCATCAGCAGCCAGGAGTGTCTTTGAAATGGGCCAACCTCTGGAACCCTTCTTTGGCTGAATTGTTTCAGGATGAGTGTCATTTAATCAATCTGCCCTAACGTCAGGAAGTAGAGATGAGGACTGCAGGCCGCTCAATTTCTTTCTTCTCAGTTACCAAGACCTTTGGCTTATTGAATGTGTCCTGTGTGTCAGGGCCTGGGTGAGGCTCTGGGGATTCCAGGATGAAGAAGACGCCAGCCATAACTGTCCTTTGGGAGCTCAAAATCTAGCGGAGAAGGGGAAAATAAGCCGGAAGCCCCACAGCAAATAGGGATGTAAGATCTGTGACCAGGAAACATAGGTACTGAGAGAACACACAGAAAGGCCATCTACCCCAGATGGAGGAAGACTTGTGCACCCATCTGGAGGAGAGGACTCCTGAGCCGGCCTGGAAGCTCAAGGGCCAGGTTGATCAAGGAGCTCAACAATCTCAAGCTCCATAGTCCAAGGAAAAGCTAGGTGTGACTGGGGTTGCCATGAAAGATTGTGTGGGCACACAGTCAGGAAAGTGAGTGGAGGCTGAACTTCCAAGAGGCCCATGTGGGTCAGCTACTGCCCTTGTGTGACAGCAGGCACCTGGATACCTCCTGAACCTCCTCCCTCCCGATCATTTGAGCTCTTCCTTTCCTTTACCTTGAGCTCTCTGCATCCGGCATCCTCTTTATTTCCACCTACTTCATCTAGGCTGTCTGAAGACAATTATATCCTTTTTCCTTTTCCCTTTGGCATATTTCTATCCCTGCCAGCCACACACACATACACACACACACACACACACACACACACACACACACTCTTCTATCTCTGCCTATCTTACTTACTTTCTGAGATAGCCCTGCTAAAAGTAAGAATAAGGAACATTAACTAAATAAATATTGTTGCTGTTGACAGTGGGAAAGGAAGAGAAGCAGATGGGAAATAGAGAATACTTCCCTGGGTAAGTGTGAAAAGAAAGACACGAGAGACAAAGGCAAGAGGACAGGGCAAGGAAACACCCAGGTCCTGCTAACATGTTTTCATAAGCCCACTTCCTGCCCAGAACATCTAGAATGGTTCCCACATATGTGGTTGGAACCTGATCAGCTTCTGCCCTGATCCTAACCCTGCTACCTGGTTCCGAATTTCTGAGCTTCTCTTATCTGTGTGACAGAGGCCCCAGGCTTACCGGACAGATGAGCTTCCAAAAAGAGTTTGATGCCAATTTACTATTAGTCCTCCCACTCCTCAACCTTCAAACCAGGACAACTAGCAAATGCCTTCCAGCCCCTAAGGAGGCCTGGGGCTCCTGAGCAGGGACAAAGTGGGCCTGCCAAGCCCACTTCTCAGAATGGGACCCACAGCTCTCCTAGGCGATACCTCCCACCTTCTCTCCAAGGTGGCTCATGACAGCCCTGCTCCCTCCACTTCCATCAGCCTAGACAACCATTTGCTAATAGTAAAATCGTAAGGGAATGAGCAACTGCAAAAGTCAGACCCTGTGCACCGATGATCTCATTCAGTCCTTACAGCATTCCTATCTGGTAAGGATCATCTCCAACTACAGGTAAAGAAAGCCACTTCCTCAAGGTCACATAGCTACAAAGAAACAGAGCCAGGATTCCAGTCAGGGTTAGCCTGACCCAGACAGAGCCTACTTCCCATCAGCTCAACCCATTGCCTCCTCTAAGCAGCAATGCAGCAACATTCACTGGACATCTGTGGTATACAGAGCACAGCACTAAGTATGCTAAAAGAGACAGAAACCTCAAATCCTCGCCTTTTAGGAACAAATAATTGAGGTAGGAGAAAGCACATACAGAGCTCAACAGCACCTCTGAGAAACCACCCATGAGTGCAAGGAGAGCATGCAGTCACCTAAGTGGAACTTTGTAGCAGGGAGGGGTGTTGAGCAGAAAAATAATGAATACAAGGGAGATAGGAATACAGAAGCCCCCTTGGAAGATGCAAAGAACAGAAATCAATCCAAAGGTGATGTGAGCAACTCCAGGCAGAAGCAATGACATATTCTAGAGCCAGGGAATGAGAATTAAATGTCCGGCAGAGAAGAAAGAAAAGCAGCCTGCTGTTGGGAGCAGAGGGAGGGGATTTTTCTAAGGGTGAGGTCACCACCAGAGTGAGAAGAAGTCTCCTGAGAACTTCTGAGAACCCAAAGCAGGGCAGGTTAATTTGCTATGTTAGGCAAGTGGGATCAGTGCGTCAGTTCTTTACTGGGGAAAGATAAATGCAAATTGGCATCTGAGGGAAGTTTTCCTAGGGGCATCTGGGGTTAGCAGGGACTAGTTTCCATCACCCAGCTGGGATGACGAACCACTTGAGTTAGGTTGCCGGATTAGAAAGGACATCTAACAATCTCAGTGACAAAATCATTATTAGTTTGGAAAACCTACATTTTAAAATTAAATATATCTTAGAATGGTGGATATTTATGGGATGAAAAATGAATATCTTAGAATTAACCAAATTTTATTTTCTTACAGTGAGTCCTGGCTTGTGCAAGGTGAAAGGGGTTTTTTATGTGGGTTTTAGAAAAAATGAGTCGGATAACCAGGGAAAGTTCAGGTTCTGTGACCTGTTTACCATCATTCTGATTATGATAAAAGGGTTTTTTTTCCCCCCCTACTCTTTTAAATTCACCTCAGAAGAGGCAAAAGGCTTTTAGGGGACCTTCCAAAAGTTGGTACTGCATAAGTAGTTGGAGATATATGATCATTGGCTGAAATAAGTTCCTCCCAAGGCCTGAGCCCTGGCTTACCTGAACTTCCAACGCTGAGCCACAAAAGTAGGCCCCCCACCCAGAAGCGGCTCTTCCAGGGACCTGGGGGCATTGCTGAGCTGGAAATCTCAGAGCTGGTATGGAGTAATTCCCTAAAGCCAAAGAGATCACATAACCCAGCCTCTCAGAAAACACCCACGTGGATTTCACTAATCATTAACTAGCCTCATGACCTGAAAAGGAAAAATAAATTCTTCCTTATTTATTTAAATGCCAGAGTTTTCGGTTTCTTCTTCTCAATGAAAATAAATACACTTTCTTTTTTGTTAACCAGAGTGCATTGAAACACACTGTCCTTCCTCTTTGAGCCAAACATGATCAGGAAACTATTTCCTGCACCTCTCCCACTTCCCATGATAGGATGTTACTAATAACCAAGGCAGAAGTCCTTCATCTCTGGGTGACCAGAAACCCCTCATCGTGTTGGAATTATCTGTGGACATGTGTGTCTCCCTAGAAGATTCTGAGTGACTTGAAAGCAAAGGCTTTCTCTTTTCATTTTTTAATCCGCAGTGCCTAGCACAGGACTGAAATAATAATATATTTTAAGTGTCCATTTAATGGACAGAAGGGAAGAAGATAAAGTTTCCCTCTGGAGAGTACTATCATTTTGTAGAATCTTGGGGCTAGAAGTCAAGTCCAGCTTTGGAGATGTTCAACTTCCTGAATTCACAAAGAAACTGAATATTAGAAAAGAAAATGACCTATAGAGATCACATTGGTGGAAGTGGCAGAGCCGGGCCTGGAACCAAGGTGGTTCCAGCACCATATGGCCTCTCCACCCAAAGGAGTGGCAGAAACCACAGAACTATTTCTAGGCACGTCAGTGGGGCTGGGGCGGAGGGCGGGGCACTTGTCTGCCATTCCCTAAATCATAACACATTGCTGTTAGGCAGACAGCCCACCAGCAGGGCCAGGATCATCTTTTCTGAACAATAACTCTCTGAGGTGAGTATTAATAACTACTGTATTAAGTACAAATTACTTAACTGTGATAATTACACAGTTAATAATCACAGATAAGTACAAATTACTTCTCTGTGACAGAAGTTAAGTAATGTGTATTAAGTACAAACATTTGTGTTTTACACAGCTGGTAGGGCACAGAGAATTTAAGTCATTTGCCTGAGATCATGCAGAGCTGTGATTTAAAGCAGGATGAGCCAGCCTCAGAATCCATGGTCTGAGCAATGATACTGTACAGCAACAACTCCTGAAGAGGCACTGGGACCATGCCATCATGGCTGAACACAGGATACGATTATTTTGGAGGGGCTAGCCCTTACTTCCCCTTGTGCGCACGATCTCACTGCTCAAGTGTTGCTGCAACCAGGAAGGAGTGTGGCAATAAGTAGGGCACAGCAGAGGTCACTACTGAAAGCAGTCTTGATGTTAGAGATGAAGCCGAGTGTATGAGTTCAGGTCCTCGGAGAAGAAGATGCCAAGATAAGACAAGATATACAAGAGATTTATCGGACTAACACCTGTAAAGAATAAAAGGTGCTAGAGAAGGCAGGAAGAGCCTTTAGGTTGTGGTGCACATCTGACACCTGTGAAAGAGAACGGGCAGGAAACAGAGGATTACATAGGAAGAATCTCGTGCTGCAGCACAGTTTCTAGAATATTCTGATCAGGTCAATGGGGACTCCTCAGGCCAAAGTCTTTTGTGACAGCAGATCTGTGTTTTGTAGAAATGAGCCTGCATTAGCAGCCACATCCTGCTTAGTCATTAGCTGGGGTCAACCTCCCCACAAAGACAGAGGTAGATTCAGAAGGCAGCAGCTGGAGCTGTCAGTCAATCATTTTCCTACAGCAGGAGACCTGAGGGCTGTTTTCCTGGCCGCCCACACCGTGGCCAGAGATAGTTAATCCCGGGTGCCCTTGTGCCTGGCATGAACACAGCTGACACTGAGAGAGCACTTTCACTTTCTTTCACATCCAACATCTAGCACAGTGCTCTCCGAGCGGGGTCAGAGTGGTCCCTTCCAGAACCACCTGCCTCACAACCATCCAATTGACTTGGGACAGACTGCTGGACCCACTCCAGACACACAGAATGAGAATCTTTGGAACAGGGCCCAGGACTCTGCAGCTCCAGCAGGCTCCTCGGGTGATTGCTAGAACCGCTAGCCCTCTGTTAATACTTACAACAGCCATGTCCATTTCACCAGTGGAGAAACTGAAGCTCAGATAGGCCAGGGGCCTAGGGACACTGCTTGAGAGGGCCAAGGCGAAACAAGATATGCAAGAGTTTTACTGGACTAAACCTCGTCCTTCTGAAAAGTGAGATTACATGTTTTAGAAGGTGAGGATGAGACCCTTCTACCTGGAGACACTGAGAGAGCCACAGTTCATATTCAGTGTATGCTGTCTGTCTCCCCCAAGGAGAACGTCAGCTTCAGAAGGGCAGAGTCCTGGCCTGTTTTGCTCACTGAGATATCCCAGTACCTAACACAGTACTTGCTACACAGTCAGTGGTCAATAAATATTTACTAGGGGAAGGCATTGTTCAACTGGTAGGGTGTGCTGGTCAGTCCCCACCCCTCTTTTAGAGAGGGGGTCCTACTCACCCATTTTAAAGTGGAGTCAGATGGTTCTACTTGCCTAGGATCCAGGTACACAAGGAGCAAGTGACCAGGGAATCAATGTTCAAAATTCTGAAATGCAGTGGTGTGATAATGGCTCACCACAGCCTCAACCTCTTGAGCTCAAGCAGTCCTCCTGCCTTGGACTCCTGAGTAGCTGATACTACAGGTGCACACTACCACACCCAGCTAATTTTATTTATTTATTTGTTTGTTTGTTTGTTTATTTGTTTTTGAGACAGGGTCTTGCTCTATCACCCAGGCTGGAGTGTAGTGGTATAATCTCAGCTCACTGCAGCCTCAACCTCCTGGCCTCAAGTGATCCTCCCACCTCAGCCTCTCAAATAGCCTGGAGTACAGGCGCCTACCACCATTCCTGGCTAATTTTTAAAAATCTTTTTGTAGAGATAGAGGTCTCGCTGTATTGCTCACGCTGATCTCAAACTTCTGGTCTCAAGCAATCTTCCCATCTCAACTTCAAAGCATTGAGATTAGAGGTGTGAGCCACCATACCTGGCCTAACATGCATTTTTTAATAGCTCTACACATATACACTTTTTTAAAAAATACAAAAACACGGTTAAAAATAAATCTCCATCTCCTTCCCCCAGGTTTCCCAGATCCTACAGAAATCAGGCAATGTCATTGTTTCCTTGCACATCCTCCTAAAGATATTCTATCTCATGCTTTTTAGATTTTTACACCCTTCTTTTGACCTACTACTTTTTTTTTTCTTTTTTGACAGTGTCTTGCTCTGTCACCCAGGCTGAAGTGTAGCAGTGCAATCATGGCTCACTGCAGCCTTGGCTTCCTGAGCTCAAGTAATTCTCCCACCTTGGCCTCCCAGGTGGCTGGTACAGGCACACACCACCATGGCCACCTAATTTTTCTTTCTTTCTTTCTTTCCTTCTTTTTTTTTTTTTTTTTTTTTTTTTTTTTTTTTTTTTTTTGTAGAGACAGGGTTTTGCCACGTTGCCCAGGCTGGTCTTGAACTCCTGGGCTTAAGTCATCTTCCCGCTTTTGCCTCCCAAAGTGCTCAGACTCTAGGTGTAAGCCACGCCTATTCTTACACAAACTCTTTTGAACCTTGAGTTTCACACTAAACAAAATACTTTGGAATTGCCTCATTCTTCTTTTAAGGTTGCACAGAATTCCATCAAATAGAATGTGTCATGAAATTTTAGTGCTCAACCCAAAATGGCTGAAGCCCTTATCCTACCTGATTTTCAGAAAGTCCAATCTTTTGCCAGATTCTAATTTGAGGTGAAGAGCACGATTATGGAGCCTCTCCTATCCTGCTGTCCTATATGCCCTGCATGTGAACATGGGTACATGCACGCACGCACACACACATGCACCTTCTCAGAACAAGTCATAAAATACAAGTATAGTGAAGGACAGTTTTCAAGGTCTTGGACTGGGCCCAGTTCTTTCAGTTTTCTGGCTTATAGTTCTCAAGAATAACTGTAGAATGTGCTGGGAATCCAATATCCTGGGACCTGTTCCAGTCCCCCCACTACACAATATCCTTCAATGCTTTAGCTCAGTGATTCTTGTTTCCCTTGAGTATAAAACCCAGGATGGGCTGCCTTCCTGGGGGTCCTCAGCTGTGGTGCAAGTGGGCATGTGCAGATGAGGCTCCATGTGCCCCAGGCAGCTTTCCTAAGCCTTGGGGGACTGGCTCACATGAATTTCAGGCTTCTGTTGTCTGCTGCCTAGCTGTAAGTAACAAGCCAGATTCCTGTAACTTATTGCGTGCATAGGTATTCTGTCTCCCAAGACTCAGACAAATCACAGTGAACCTGCTTTTCACACAGGACAGTCTAAAACCTTGTGGAGAAAGAGAACATTTCATGCCCCTAATACGCCAAACCACATTATTTTAGCCTTCATTTAAAAACATCTACATTCTGTCTCTGTTTTTCCAGAAAGAATAAGTAAAGACCGGCTTTACATTAGCCCAGACAAAAAGGTCACTTGTGGTTTTGCCAGAACAGAGAAGCTGTGTACCCTGCCGGTGATGCCAAGCTTGCAACTGTTGAGAGAGCTGAAAATTATTTGTAGCTTTAAAATGACAATTTGATACTAAAATTCAATGGTTTTGTGTTTATTCTCTGAGATCACTTAACTTCAGAGTAAAATTGTGAACTTTAAGGGCTTATCTTTGGGTGTGCATTATGGCAAGGGAGTATTGTGAGAAGGTTGAAGGGAAAGAAGGCCCTGTGAGCACCCGGGGTTGTGTCAAAAGTTTCCCACATGACAGAAGAAACTGGCTGGAGGTGGTTGTCTGGGAATTTCCCTGGTTCTCTCATTTCATGACAGCTTGGTAAAAAGAAGACCCTAGATACACTTTTTAAAAGCCACCAGTAATATATAGATAGTATATGTTAACATATCTTTTTCCATTTTTTGTTTAACTGCTTGTTATATGCTAGATACTATGCTGTGTAAAATGTACAACAATCGCACAAGGTAGATACTATTATTAACTCCATTTTCCATGTGCAGAA